GTACACTGAAAATTCAGCCTGGCTACATTTCAACCAGGTTTTTTTGCATGTGACTCTCAACCTCTCAGTATGAATGATAAGGTCCAGAACATGAAGTGTTTGCCTTCTGTGACCCTGCAGGCATAAATGTGCATAATGTCCACCTCTAATCCTACATGAAGTTTCACACTAAATAATGATTTAATATCCCTTTTATTTGATGTTTATTTTATTAGAAGTCCAGTGTGCAGACTTTATGGGAATATATTTGGCAGAAAATAATAAAATAAGTATGTTTTTTTGGTTTATAATCACCTGAATATAAGAATCGTTGTGCTTCCATTACCATAAAATGAGACAGTTACATTTACATAGGGAGCCGGTTCTCATCTATGGAGTCCGCCATGTTGCACCATCATGTTTCTATGGTAGCCCAGAACGGACAAACCAAACACTGGCTCCAGATAGAGCTGTTTCTGTTTTTTGAGATGGCCAGAGTAGTTAACAGTCCCTCTGCAATGAGCTGAACAGCATTGGAAAAACACTGATTTTTAACACCAAACTGCTTTATTCAGTGTTTTAACTGGTTGAAATCACTGGGTGGGTTTGTTTTGGAGAGAGGGAGACCTAGGCTAATAATTCGGCACCTGGCTAAAACCTCCTGAACGTTTGGATCTTAAGTTATCTGAGAAAAAAGGTGAGCACAGATCAGGTCCTTGGCGAACGGCCCATTGGAGAAACACTGATTTGTAACACGAAACTCCTTTATTCAGTGTTTTTTCTAGTTTTAGTCATCTGGTCCGTTAGTTTTGGAGATAAAGAGACCTCTGCGAATAATTCGGCTCCCAGTAAAAACCTCCTGAACATTGAGCATTGAAGGGATTCTTACCAGGAGTGGCACATGGGAAAACTTTCGGCTAAAATCTTCCACATGGCTCCTTTAAAGCCTCCTTCAGACTGGGAGATTTTAGAAATCTTGTAAATTTAGTGCAAGCTACAATGTGGGACATTCGTCCTTCTTTACGTGATCATGGTAAGAGCTGGAGGACACATCATACAGACAAGACTTCTACTGCCACAACTCAATAAGGTTTTCCTCTTTTCTGGAGTTCCAGACATTTCTTTGAGCACATTTTGTCTCTACGGTGAGCTGCTATCCATCTGTTTGTTTGGGTTTTGCGCCAGTGCGCCATTTCATGCTGCTTTTCTATTGGTTGGTTAGTAGACGTTAGTTTTGTTTGATTGCAAGACTGTGATAATGAAGAGATGGACATCCGACCTTTTCTGTTATTCCTCTGACCGACACTGTGATTATGCTCCTCTGATTGCATGCATTTGTTTTGCTACTTACTGCTTTCTATGGTGTTTGTTTTTTATCTTTTGCACATCACCGTACTTTGAGGTACCTCAGTAGTGTTGTTCTGTCCTTATTGGCTTATTGGCCTGATGTGGTGTCAGATACTCTACCCCATGTTGTTCATCTAACACTGTGTTTTGTTGTGTGTGTGTGTGTGTGTGTGTGTATATGTGTGCGCATATGTGTGTGTCATCTTGGCAAAAATGTGGTCCTGGAGACACCTATTGTCGTTGGGACTACCACAGAGGCCATTTTGAGTATTTTTCAGGTGTTTATACATCTTTAGACTGATGGTCTTTATGCATTTTTGTACATGTCTCTATTTATTTATAGGATATGTTTACGGACACTGTCATGGTGTCTGTGGGTCTGTTTATTTGTGTATAGACGCTCACGCGTATTTACATTGACTGTGAGGCGTGTGTGTGTGTGTGTGCACCTACGAACTTTTGTCCTTTCCTTCTTTCCCATATTAAGTACATGTACATTGTGGTGCCCTATGATATTATGAAACAAGGTACATTTTCTCTTTAAGTAGTTATGTTACCTGTTTTCTTTCTCCTTTCCTTGAACGCATCATTGCATCACGTGACCACATCATGTGCATATTTAAGATGGCGGCACCCTCCGTCTTATGAGTCTGATGAAGAGCATAACGCTCGAAACGTTACTTCATTAAACATTTCAGCATTGGAGCCCTGCGGCGTGCGAGCTGTTTGTTCTTCGTTTCAAGATTGTGACAATGGCCGTCCTTGAACCTCACTGGGTGACATAGGGTCTCTGTTTTAGAACCACAACCAAAGATGTAGCTACGTTCCTTTCACGACAGTTGTCTATTGTCTGGGGCTGCCCAGAATGGCACAGTGTGTACCAGGCTTTAAGTGTGAATAAAGCCAAAGAAGCTGTTTATTTTACCCTATTGTTGTTATTATTATGAGAGACATAACCTCTCTTGAACCTAAAAAGTTTGCCTCAGCATTAACTGTCTTCCTTTTCACCAAGTAAATAACACGCAGTAAAATCATGAATTTGAACTCTGAATTTCTTATTTTTCTTTCCTGTGTCTGAGTTTTTTGTCCCTTGTCACTATCCATCTCAACTTCTCCTCCAAAGCTTTAATGACACCGTACTATACACAGTGTTGGTGCAGGAGGGCATATCCATCTATTCCAAAAGTTGTCTTGGATTCTTCAGCAACAGAAATTCAACCATTCAATTTAGTGTCATTTTTAGTAAAGTTTATGCAGTCATCCTGTGTAACATAAAAATGCCAGTATCTCCAATCTGTCACACTGTACTTTGTGTTCACAATTTTTTTCCCCCCTATCGTCTCCCATTCTTTTCCCTCTTTTCGTCTCAGTCCTTTTAGTTTCCCCTTCTCTCACTCGTCTCACTCCTCTTTCCTTTATGTTTCTGTCTCTTTGTGTTTCTCTTTCCACGCCACCACCCACCGTCTCTCTCTCTTCCCTTTCTCCTTTTTCCTGTCTTTCTCCCTCCAAACTTATCCTTACGTGCCTACACACCATATCCAAACCAGCCTGCGTATTCATGTTGCACTGAGGTATCACTTTATGTCTCTGCTATTATTTTTTTGTGAAGTCGCCTCAGTATGACTTGCCCCAGACAGCGCTATGCTGTCCCACCCTCATTATATTTTCACACTCGGCTACCCTAGGACACAAGGAAACACACACACACACACACACACACACTCACAAACACACATTTCCGCTCAAACCATCCACTGTATGTGTGTGTTTTGTTTGTGCCAGCGCCGGTTCGTCGGTGTGTTAAAATGGGAATCCATCCGTCTATTTTGGGAAAGTAAAACACATAATTTTATACATGTTCTCTGTAGTATTTTTACAGCAGTAACCATTTAATATCCTCATGTTGGTGTAAATTCTTTTTTTACAGTATGCTTATTTCTATGCTTCATGGTTGCCATTCCCCACACACATTTCCACACATTGCACTGCATGTGTCTAATCCCCATAAATGTGTGGTTTGTAAAAAAAAAAATGTGAGACTACCCTTCTAACTGCTCTTGGTGACTCACAGACTGTAGAAACACAGCCTCCATTAGCTGTACAGCTGACGAGCCATAGCTCAGCTTGTCAGCGGTTTTCCTGAAATGGACTGTATTTTCGTGTTGGGTCGTTGGCGAACATTTCGTTGAAAAGAATAAATCTTTTGGGTGAAACCGAACAGAATCACTTCCCTAAATGTTTCCGATTATTTCTCAGTTCAGTTGAGCTCTCAATCAGCTGCTATTGAACATTTCAGGGACTTTCTGAGTGAGTGATTGCATGTTCTGTGAATCAGTCACTGAACGTACCACACAGTGAATGTGAGCCCTGAATAATAGAGGGTCGCTGAGTCACTAAAGCTCAATTCAGTCTTGTGAAAATGTACATACTGTACATAACAGGGTAGAACATCAGCTTTCAGTTTGCAAATGGTATCTTTATATGGCTAAACTCCATTCTCAGTTCACTGGTTGGAAAGCAGAACTGATTGTTACACCATGTTTAGGTTCAGTGACTACGGATGGTCGGAGCTCTGGTCAAGCACTGAACAATTCTGTGAACAAATGAGCAGATTCTCGTGATTTAGCACACTGAAATATGCTGCCAATCACATCAAACTTAACTTAATCTGCTCAGCAATGAAAACTAAAAACTGTTTCAAATATCTGCATTATGGTAGCGTTAAAGAAGGCACAGCTCGATGTAGGGTAATACTTTGTACTTTGTGGTTTTTCTTTGTACCATTAGATATTCATGACTCAATAAGCAACAATCACAGTGAGAAAAAAGAAAAAGCCCACCATCATCTGATTCATCTGAAATCTCAAATGTGAAATAACAAAAACTGTTCCATTTTTGGCAGAAAAATAGTGTGCTCATAGTAAGAAGTTGATTAAAAAAAGATTTTTAGGCCCTGAGGTGCAGTCAGTTTAACTGTTAGTAGCTTTTATGGTGACTAAACCCAAAACTCTAGCAAAAAAAAGCTCTGAACTTAACTAAACCACAATATAATTAACTGTGGCTCATGTTAGCATTCAGCTAACACTCATATTCAAAGACTTCACAATAAGTGATCAGTGTGGCAGTTCAGTGTAATACAATGTAATGCTGACCAGCCAAACAGAGGCTGAATAACAAATACTGAGTGATGGAGGATAAAGAGTAGGGATAAAAAGCTCCCTCCCATTACAGCACAGCCATTGCAACCCCTTGTCCTCTTTGGAAATGAGATACCACACAAAAACCCCGATAATCCCAAGCTCCAAACTCCTAAGCTTTACGAGATGTCTGGTAAATACACCAGGAAATGAATCAAAACTGAATGTAAATATATGGAAATAAACTGCCAAAGAGCAATATGTCATCTTTGATATATGCTGGTGTAATGCCTTCTGAATGGAGATTTAAAATAAAAAGTGATGCATTAATGTAGAGCTGTGATGCTGAGTCTATCACTCTTGTACACACTACTAGATGATGTATTTACGCTTGTTTCTCCGTGTAAAGAAACTGTTAAGAAACGCCGTGCACTGTGGTATATGTTGTGGCAGCAGGTTGTAATGCATGTGTGAATTTATGTGAAAAAGCTGATAGATGGGTGCATGTATTTATATCAGCGTGCGTATCCAGTAAAAATGCATTTCACAGGTCAGTGAGTCACGGATTTACTCACTGTTTGTTGACTTGACTTTAATAGATAATTTGGATGCTTTGGATTTCAGTCACAAATGACACTGTAAGCTCGACATGTTTCAGCCAGGCTTTGCATTAGTTATCTGTTCCATGAAAGGCATGTTTTTATAATTAATGAAGCTAATCTTTTTCCTTCTGTTTCCTCTTCCCCTGTCTCTCCACAGTGTTTGACAGCCAAGCAGGAGCAGCAGGAGCTGGAACAGGAGGAGGGCTGGACTCATCCCAGCCCCGTTTCTCCTCCTCCCTCCCCACCTACCTCCCCGCCCAGTGCCAACTAAGTGGTGCTGACTCCGCCTTCTTTCTCCGGGAAGCCAATCAGGAGGTTATGCGAAATGGCAGCCTGTCATCTCGGACTGAGCCCTTCTTCCTCCAACAGCTGGAACCAGCCATTGCCGCCCCGCAGTCCCTGCCGAGCGTCAATTGCAGCTACGGAAACCTGAGCATTGAGCAGCCGATACCAGTGGAGCTGCTTCAGGGTCCGCCACCGCATCTGCTAGTGACGACGAACCAGGTGACACTGAACTGGAAGGTCAAAGGTCAAGTGGTGGTGCCCAAAGTGGGGTCAACACGGCCCTGGATACAGGTACTGGCAGTTTAATGTGTCACTATCAATCTTCATAGAGATTTTAAGGGGCTGGTCCAAAAAACTATTTTTTTCCAAGCTGAAAATGCCAAGCGCTCCTATGGAGATGCCCAGCTGGGCGTAATTGAGAGTGCTTTGGCGGTGCTGCATTTTTTTAGCTGGGATGCTTTGGTTGCATCTGGTTGCTATGATATGGAATGTCCATTGAAGTATAAATGTCAGCGCATGGTAGAGTACTTGCTTTGGATAAAGCGAAGGCTGAAGGACATAGGAAGAGGACAGACCCACCAATCTGTGTGGGCTCAAAAGTACAAACATATTTTAGTATGTATTGTGTAGTATTTGTCCCTTCTCCACTGTGACTAAATGGCTGGGTAAAAAGCGACAGTGACGAGTGCAGTGTTACACTCAAACTGGAACATTTATCATCTCTCACCACTCAGAAACAAAAAAAAAAACAAACAAAAATGCCAAACATCCATCTCAGTGCAGAATAGACACTCAGCACCTCGTGACTCTGCTGGCGTTTGTATTGTAGCCTATGAGTGCTCTCAGACCTAGAGTTGTCTTGCTTTGGTCTGAATCAGGGACTTATTTTGTTACAAAGTTGTATAATTGCCTAGAGTTGTTTCGTGTTCTCACGGCAGCATTTACAAGCGGACCAGATCAAATGCTTTGCACGAGAAATCTGTTCTTTGATTGGTCAGAATTCCATGCGGGAAAAATCCAGGAAGTAAACCAAACATTGAAGAAGAGTACACTTGCAAGATAAATGTGACACTTTCTAATGTCACAATGGAGGAACAACTACGCAGGTTGATTTTAGCGCTGCTCATCGTGGACTATATTGCTGTCATTGTTCATTTTAGTCAAACCATACAGTTTGAAAACGAGGCGCGGCTCCAACTAGAAAACAATGTTTTGATGCATTGGATGTGCTGAATGTGCATATTAAGGCAGTACAGGAGGAGGTGCACATTAATAATCCTCCAGGACTGTAACATGCTCATGTTTAACCCAAACAATGTGTCATGTGACTGCAGTTGGTTCAGATCCAGATCGGAACACGTTCTCACCACAAACAAACCGCACCAGAGTTTGTTTGTAACTGGACCGAAACCACCTCTTCAAGAAGGTCTCGGTCCGGTTGTTTTGGTGCACATCCAAGTGTGATAAGTGTTCACGACTGCCCGAACAAACTGCACTTAGGGGGCAAACAAACTTGAGTTCGATTGAACTGAATCAAACAGGGCAGGTTTCAAAGCACCCTAAATATACAGTGCTTCAGTTGCACAGAGTTAAAATAAATATGTTAGCCTCAGGAAAAAATGCAAGACATGATCCCAAGTTTTTTTTGTAAATGTAATTAAAGAATAGTCCGAGGATGCACACATAAATAATACTCCAATCCCATACAAGAAACATGATCAAATCCAAAGGTTTGCATCTATCAATTTATTGTATGTTTATCTGTATGCTCATGCATTCAATCATTACATAATCATTATTGACTACTTGCAGCTTATTCCTGTGCTAGGAATTGAGTGAGAGCTGTGAGGGTGAACCAAAACAATGAAGTTGCAGACTGGAATATTGACTACAAACACTCTACAGAGCAGAGAGGCTGCAGGGTCGGGGGATAAATCTCTCTGGGTTTGACACTATGAACAACACCTTTCACATCACACTGTAATTTGATCCATTGTTAATGTACATATAGTTCAGCTTTAAATAATATACTCTGTGCATATGCAAAAATCTGTCAGCATAAGAATAATATTAGAGCTGATGATTATTTCCCACCCCATTTTGTGTGTTTCTGTGTTTTAACATGATTATTAACTGTCTTTTTTGGTTTTGATATCTTGTTGGCTAGCTGTCCATCATATGATTTACCCATCATTATTATTGTTTGCATTTGTTTTGTCCCCAGGTGCTCTTTTATCTGGTAGGGAGGCGTTGGGATGAGCCTGACCCGCCTCCTCCAGCCCTCCTCCCATGTGTCAGAGCCATGGCCATCCGTGACACCAGTGAAGCAGCACCCTCGGCGGGCTGCCGACTCGTGGGACCATCTGGCATCTGTGTTGTCCGTCTGGAGATTCCCCCAGCTTGGTTTACACCGCCGCAAGTGAGAAAAAGACCTCCTGAAGTGACTCTGCCATCAGTGGATGTGTATTACTCAATCATACCAGTGGAAGGGGCTGGTCAAGAGTGTCCCCCCATTGTTAACGAGCCATGGAGAGGTCAGAGCGCCAACATCGGGCCTCTTGGAGGCCTGGGCTTGGGCCTCGGGCAGTGGAGCTCCCTAGTAGATGGGGGTCTTCAGGACTTGCTGAAAGCTGGCTCTGTGGTAATGACCATGGGCCCAGTTTCTGCCAAAGGAGAAAAACTGAGACTGGATGAAAATGTGGAGGTTCTGGTGCCACCCAGCCCTGTTCGGCTTGGCAAGACAGTAGCGTTTGGCATCTACATGAAGACTGGCTCAAACACGGAACAGTTTACATTGAGGTAGGAACACAAATGCTTTCATATAACTTGTTTGGCTTTGGTTTCATTTAGTATTCTGTTCCCTTTTTGTCTCATTTTACTTTTTCTTGGGTTTCTCTCTAATTCTTTTGTCTATCACCTCCACGTATTTCTTTCCTTCTCATCTACTCTGTCTCGTCTTGCTACGCTGCTGCCTCCTGAGGGTGATAGCTGTCACCTTTGTGTACTCAGCCTCTTTCAGGAGCCAGCAATGCAAATAACAACCTCATGATTATTCATGACTGATCCAAGGAGAGATGAAAACAGAGAATGAGAAGCGGGATGGGGAAAGGGTGACTGGGGGGGACTGAAGGTTGGGGAGACAGGGAAATAAAAGAAAGGGCATAAAATTAGAGTAGATCCAGGTTTCTCAAACTGAAGGGTAGTACCAAAATGCCTCTCAGGTGTGCTTCAAGAGGTCACCTACATGGTTTCCCACATAATCTGCAATATGTTTTCATGCACTCCCATCCTGGAAACAAATTTCTTTTTGGTTCGCTGGCTGGAAATGAGTTTACAACCCCTGATCTAGACTAAGCCTGCATCTGCATCCCATCACTGCCTCATCATTTCACTGACTTTAGGGATTTCAGACTGATAAATGACAGATTTATCATTTTTCACAATTTATTATTCTAGCTGGAGAACATCCCAGCACACAACACCGAGGCTGAATATAGCATCACTAAAACAATATACTCCTATGAGGTTAGAGCTATTGAGAACATTTTAGAGAGCTACTCTGAGCAACTTTAAATACATTTTTCCCTATTTCAGTCTCACATCCACTCAAAGAAAACTTGGAATACACTGAACACGGTAATTGGCACATGTCAACTGACTTCTCTTTTTACATGAGGCTTGAACATTTTTTCAGATCATTTGCGCAGAATGTCAAAGAAATCAATTTTACATAATGAAAGCTGCACATTGTCTTTGAAATCGCTTCAGTTGCTGCACGCAATTGGATGACAATAATACCCTTCCAATGTGAACCATGAAGAGGATGCCTGATATGTGAGAATGTCTGAAAAATAAAGTGTCTTAGCATCTAATCGTCTTTGACGTGTATTGACTTATTTTGGGGGATTGGACCTCCACTTGGTTTGAGGGTCGGGAGAGCTGGGTCTCCACATACTAAAGGGTAAAGTCTTGTTTCCACTAAGCAGTCCAGTCCAGTCCAGTTCAGTTCAGTTCAGTTCAGTTCAGTCCGCTACAAATTAGAATGATTATTTCTGTGTTCTCATTGTCAAAAGGTATGGATGGTACCATGTTGTTTTTTTTTTGAGGTACCAAGCATACTGATCTGATACTAAAAGTTGGAGCACTGCAGTCTGTTCATTGGTCAAGAGGGGATTGTCACTGTTGCTTGACTCAATGCACAAACCTGCTATTCTTAAATGAACTTACAGTTGTATAGCACCTCTCCAGTCTTCTGGCCTAATGGAGGCTTATGGCGCCCCAGATTCCCCCCAGAATTGAAACCACAAAATATCTCCATACTGCTCATCCGTAGTGATCTTGAATTTTTGAATCTGGGGCACCTTAAGCCTCCATTAGGTGGAGTTGTGTTGCTACCCCCTCTCCCCTGGGATTTCCGCAAGTGTTGTGAGGACTCTAAAACTTCACCTGAGCTTCTATCGGCATATGGGTGAGTAGAAAATGGGTGAATTTTCATTTTTGGGTGCACTATCCCTTTAAAGTACTTTTCTAGTGGAGGGTCACATTCACACAAGCATCAATACAATACATCTCTCATACACGCACACACACACACACACACACACACACACACACACACACTGTTGGTACATTTGGGATTTAGTATATTGCCCATACTTGGACATGTAGTCTGGCATAGTGGGGGTTGAATCGCACATCTTCTGATCAGTGGATGACTTACTCCTGAGCCACAGCCACCCAGTATCCTATTAACTGCGACAGAGACTCTAAAGACACCAGCATGTTCTTTTTTGTTCTGTAAATATTGGCATGCAACCCAGTTCCATGGACGATCATCGAGGTTCTGACATTGCTCTGCACTGCTACTAAAGATGAAATACAGCATGAGCTGCATGGAGCAGTGATGCGGCATCTGATAACAACCCTGCCTACATTTGAGAGATCTGTGGTGAAAACGCAAAACAGACTTAGGGTTTACAGTGTTTGGTGAAAGCATGGCTTAATTTGTCCCCTCGAAACAGCTGCAGTAAAGTCGGGAGTCAACCAAGCATTGTGTCTACACACTGAGTAGTCCACATGGTGTGGTCTGACTGGAAGTCGCCAGCCAAATTTTACTGCAGTTGTGGCAAAAAGTAGGTGTTGGCAGGGTTGTACTTTCTCCCATCTGAATAAGAGGTTAATCCCAACCTGTCTCTTAAAATGGCTGGACATTAGAAAGCCTTTTTGTAATTTTCATATAGTTACATGTCGCTTTGGATTTGCAAGGCCTTTAAAGTTCATTGCAGACCATCTGAAAAGTAATTACACAGCACTAGCATAGCTTCTTTAATATGAAATGAGTGGATCTCTGTGTTGCAGCAATAAACTTGCAATTTTGTAATTGATAAGTGATTTAATTCTGTGTTGCCCTGCAGACAGGTTTTCTGAAATGTCAGTAGGACCAGGAAGCAAAGGCAGTACACATCAAACACTTGTGAGGAAGATGATCCTTGGCAATGGGGGTTTGAATACATAAATGACAAGTGAAAACTGACTTGAGGCATGATTTACTTTTACTTTTAACACCTTGATAAGTCTGATTTGACCTCTTAACAGGTTGTTGTAAACAAATTTGCTATTTGTTTCCTACATATTTAATTAAAAGATGCAGAAAAAAAAACATCTGTCATCAGTGGGATCACTGCTGTGTGTGTCTTTGTGCTCAATCATGTCTGAGGTCACTTGAGGACACCGGAGGAAAAGAACAAGTGGCTAGACTGCACTGCACCTTGTACTGCTACCTGCTGATAGAATACACACACACTACTACACACACTGCTTCACACAGCTACACACACGGTCACACAGATGGAGGGAAATAAATACTCCACCGACACCTTGTCTGCACACTTTCAGCTATGTATACACACAGTTCTTTACAGTCCACACACACATAGACACACAGGTGCTGCACACACTTGTTTACTGTGTGTGTATCCAGCACACACACAAAAAAACACACATAGAAGTGATGAGGTGGCCTCTTTGGTTCCCCTACAGACACTTTGTCTCTGTCTTTGTTGTACAACACCACTGCTGTGGGTGTGTGCTTGAGCGTGTGTGTGCACATACGCGTGTGTGTGGTACCTCTACACAAAGATAGTGGAGGAATAAAATCAGCCTCTTCTTTTTTATGGCATCATATCTATATCTCAGCAGGTCTTGCTGTATTCTATTTTGTTCTGATATTTTTTCAGCCATATGTGTGTCATGTTCATTTTGAGGAACATCCAATTTAAAAATCTCTAGGCATGTATTCCACTTATCTCTCTGTTTGCATCTGAGTTGTGTGTGTGTCTGTGTGTGTGTGTGTGTGTGTGTGTGCGCGCCCATCCTACCTGCAGCTCTTGCCCTCTGCCCTGGCATACAGTCCCATGGATAATCTCCCATGTTAGAGGCACAGTCAGACATGTAATAAGGCTTAAGTGGATCTCATTCCTGTGTGTGTGTGTGTGTGTGTGTGTGTGTGTGTGACACATAATAAGCCTTAAGTGTGCTCCATCACACTGAGGTGATGTGATTATGATAAACTGCTGAAGAGATGGGGGGACACGGAGAGAGAACGAGAGAGAGCGAGACAGACAGACAGAGATAGGAAGGAAAGGAGAGAGAATAAAAAAAGGAAAATGGGAGAGACCGCACCGGGAAAGAGCAGAAAGAAGGGGAGAGAAAAGCTTCATTCATTTGCATCTCCTTACTCTAAAGCTCTTTCAAAATGTAGAGGTGCGAGGACGGAGGACTCGGGGCAGCACACATTTGATAAATTGGATTGGGCATCCTTGCTGTATCACCTGTCACCGGGCATGTAGTCTCACATAACCGTACATGATTCTGTCACTTTGTGATGAGAGTACTCGTCTGAAAGCACCAGTGGAAACTGTGGTTGCGGATGTCTGAGACAACCGGTACTGATTGAGTAACACCACCAAGTCCTCTTCCCCCAGTTCAGTCAAATTTTGTATTTGAATCATCGACTCACCATTTTCAGATTTTAAATTTTATCATTCAGTTCTTTCACAACCACAGCTGTTCCCAGATACGCCTCTGCTAACTCTGGCCTTCATTTTGCACAATTGTAACTTTAAATTGAATACCGCATTTCTCTGTAAAGTTATCACCACACTCTTGTTATTCATTCATTTCCTTTCATTCTTTGCAAGACATGAAAAAAGATAATTCATTGAACTTCCATTCAACAGGAGGTAAAAGCCTCATTGGGATTAAAAATCTTTTCTTTTTTTTTTTTTTTTTTACCAGTGTCTTGGTCAAGACAGGCAGCAGCACAAATAACAAACACACATAACAATTAAAAATGAAAATGAAGAACAACTAACAGATATTAAAAGACATCAAAAAAACATATTACAATCCCTCAAAACATCTACTGGCAAATGTGCTTGCCTCCAAGTTATTTAGACACACTTTAAATATGAACAATGAGACCAGCTCTTGAAGATTTAGGTAGGTTTGCAACTGATTTAAACTTTGCAACTGACTGTTTGGCGCAGCATCTGCAGTGATGCGGGCGCTGTGCGGGATCGTTGTGGTGACGAGAGAGCTGAGCCAGAAGACAAAGCTTTTGTTTTACTGGTCCATCTACTTCCCAACCCTTACCTATGGTCATGAGCTCTGGGTAATGACCTAAAGAATGAGAGTCCTTCGCGGATATAAGCGGCCAAAATGAGTTTCCTCAAGAGGGTGGCTGGGCTCTGCCATAGAGGTAGGGTAAGGAGCTAGGACATCTGGAGGGAGCTCGGATT